ATATTATTCCAGCCCTCCTTATTAAAGTACGTTGTAGGCCTGTTCCCCCGCTCAATTTCTTTTAAACATAGATCACAAAATATATTGGTGACTTCTTTATCCCACATTGCAGAGGGACCCCCTTCAGATGTCTTACCCATTGTGGAACTATACGAATAATTGCAAGTATCACATAATAATCAAATTATCTCAATTACCCAACAATTGTGCAAATAAATGATAAAAAAAGTGCTAAGAATAAAAAAAACACACATGTTTTTATGTGGTTTGGTCAAAGACCTACATCCACAGTAAGGCATCGAATATGATTTATTATCAAATTTTTAATCGTACAAAGCTATATTTCTCACTGGAGAGGACTACAAATATTAAGTACATGTGTAATATGAAAATTCTAATACATGTATCTCAATTTAAATTCCAACAAAGCTAGGATAATTCATAATCCCAAAAAAAATTGTCAATGTGCTGGCCTGTCTCAAATTAGTGAACTAGAAATCCATTCTTCTACCCACCGAAAATAGCAAATTCAGCCCACCATAAACGTGTGAGCCATTCAAGTTCTTTTGCAAACCCATTCAGCAACCCTCAACTCAATGCAAACAGTTTTCAGGTTTTCAAGTTAAGCACTAAACGAAGTAATATAATTCAGTTGTCACTGACAGTTTCAATTACAAAAATAGATATCCCCAAAACCTCCACAAGCTGCAATTTTTAATAACAACAAAATATAATGTGTAAGAACTATGGGAGTTTACAAATACCAGAGTTTACATACTTGAGAGTACCCTTTGCAGTATTCTAAATACCATGCACACATACTTGAGAGTACTTGAGAGTACCCTTTGCAGTTTACAAATACAATTGCAATCGCCTCTAAATACCATGCATACAACTTGAGAGTACCCTTTGCAGTGGTGATATTCCTTTTCATCCTAAAGAACAATGGGAGTTTACAAATTAATGACTGGTGCTTTTAATCAGCACTATTAGCAGATGGCCAATAAACATTAGTAAATGGGAGTACTCCTTTTCCAAACAACGTACTCAATTAAGTACTCCTTTTCCAAATCCATATTGTAGCATTCAATAGAGATGCAACAAAATCGTATACAACCTTTTTTTAAGAAAATAAACATTAGTAAATGGGAGTTCTGTGAGACAGAATGAACATTAGAGAATGAACATCCATAATCTTCAATGTTGAAACTAGTGGCCTATGGGTTGGGGCTTCATTCCCCGCAGATGGTGAGGGTGGTTCAAAACACATCTTACTAATCCTAGTGCCCTTAAGCTTCACCTTCCAGAAAAGAAAATGAAATATTTTCAATGTTAAAAGGGCATTTAAAAACCTAAAACAGACAGCGCATTAAACATTTGCCTATTCAAGAAAAGAATAATAACACACCAAGATGAAG